GTTTTCCATTGCTTAAATACTGGTTGTCCTTTGTAGGGTACTGCTGATGTTTAAGCAAAGGATTGAGACTGATTTGAACCACTCATTCTCTCCCTTTTTTTTCACAATTTCACTTTAATTAGGGGATAGTTTTGTTGCAAAAATGGACCGAAGTTCTCTAGCTAAAACAGTAGTTTATTTTTTTTGAAACACCATGGTGTGCTTGATTTCTTACTACTTCACGAGCGTTGAAGATATGGAAATGCTATAAAGATTACTCTCCATGATATTTTATCAATTGTGTGAAATTATTTTTCTTGATAGTTGATTGTGTGATTGTGACACAATCTTTCCCTTTAGAGTTACCTGTGATTCTATAGATATGGTCATCTATTATCTTTAATATATAATATTCTAATTTCTTGGGATAAATTCAGAGTCATCCGTTTTTCGATGAGTGGTTTGTATTTGAATCGTAATCTATAATGGGACTTCCTATTTCTCTGTGTCTCAAAGAGTTTCTCAAATCAAATCCCCAACTCTAGCGATTGAGAAATTCGCAAGTCACGTAACGTTCTAGTTTTGGTAAATATGATTCCTAGTGATTTCAGCTGTTGTTTTGTCATTAAAATAATTTTGCCTTTGCTCTCATGTGGCGCTAGATCAGAAGAAAATCTTAGGGTCCGTTTGATAGGAATGGTGGAAAATTGGTGGAAAGAAAATGAATTCCAGGAAAAGTAATTGATTAGAAATTGTTTTGCAGGGAATTGTTAATTATGTGTGTTTGATTGGTATAATTTTCCACTCGGAAAATTTTTAAATTTTATGTTCGTTTGCCATTCGTTTGCATCAAAATTATCCATTAAAGTGATAATTTTTACCACACTTGATTATAAAATTTGTTTCCATTGCCAAAAAGTAAAAAAAAAAGGAAAAAAAATGTTTTCTAAAAAATCATTTTTTTTAATCAAAGTTTAGTGTTTATTTGACCTTCGTTTGCATCAAAATTGTTCATGAAAGTGAAATTTTTTTTTTTACACTTTGCTATGAAATTTGTTTCTATTGCTATAAAATAAAAAAAAAAATTTGTTTAGTTTCGAAAATGAAACTAAAATTTAAATGGAAAAATAAAAAGTATGTATTAAGCTATTGCACAACCCTTGTCGACAACTTTGGTGTTGTCAAAATCTAAGCCATTAATTTAAAAAACAATTTTTAAAATGTATGAATGTGATGTTGTCAAGTGTGAAGTTGTCAGTCAAGATTGTATAAGTAGCATGATTTAAGAATGTAAATTGTCTTTCTTC